CTTTCCTCATGGTGGGTGTAATCATTGTAAACATTCAAAGTGTTTCTGTGCATTTTCTGTTACTTAATAGCAATTAAAGATTGGCTTTCTCACTGTTCCTTCATTCTAGGTCACTGTAAAGATTAAATGAGATAGCCCAAGCATTTTGAACTGGATGCAAATATACATGCATGCAAACATATTAAATGTCATATTCATGATTTGAAAGCTTGATCCTGTATTTTGGCAGGAGCTTCTCTGTGGCATTTGGCCCTTGCTCTGATGTCACTCATTGGAACTCATTCCCACAATTAGTTCCCGTTGTCTTAGTGGTACTGTGTGGGCTTGCACGGAGGCTTGGAATGAGCTCTCATGTCTGGTGAAGTCGTGCAAACCCTTGAAGGAAGAGCCTGATGATGCAGGTCTCCAGGTCCAACGGTGGGGACAGTGGGTGTGTCTGTGGGTCGGTAGGGATGCAGGGTACACACGCAGGGAGTTCCCTTTCTTAACAGTGCCTGTGCATGTTGGAAGCTTCCAGGGCTGGCACTGCGAAGGCCTTTCCTTCCTCTGGTTGTGTCAGCTCTTGGTGCTTGAGTCTGTAGGGGCAGGTTCTCTGGGTGGGGCGTCAGTGGCTGTGTGCTATTCAGGGGCTAAAGAAGTCTGTTGTCAGGAATACGTAACAGCCCTATGGCCCATGCTTTTCTGTGGGGCTCCTGAAATGTAGCATAGAAGCCAATGCCACAATCTATGCTTAGACTCCCTTCCTAGGCGAGAGAATCCGAAAAGGACTGAGGGATATACAGCCAGGAGTGCCCTGGGGGTCTCGGGAAGAGTGTGGGGGAGTGGTCTGAGGGTCCTCAGTGGGTTCCCCACTGCCTACTGTGCTCTTCTGCCTCCCTCAGAGTCAGGGCCTTCTCTCCTTGCTAAGCCACTTTCTTTTTTGCTCTGTCCTGTAAACCTCTCTTTTGTGGCTCTTTAATCATCAGTATCCCCACTGGACTCCTGGGGCTCACATGCAGTGTCCCGTACATTGTACTGCCTGAAGTCCAAATCCCAGCTCCTCATTGTGCTGGGTCAGTCCCTGGAGAGCTACAGGGGAAAGGTCCATGGGAAAGAGGAAACGGGGAGACAGGACCATGGTGGCTGGAACTTGCCTCAACTCAGGAAAGTGAGATGAAGTAGGCTGCTATACTCCTTCCTGGGAGCTTGTCATGTGACACTCATTTTAGTTTTTTGTTGTTGCTGCTTTTCTGGGGCCAAGAATCAATCTCAGGACCTCTTGTTTGCCAGGCAGGTGCTGTACCACTGGGCTAAATCTCTGACTGCCGGACTTTAGTTTTTAAAAGCCCGATGCCATTTTTCTAATTCAGTTTATCGCCACCGTAGTTAGATATGTATGCTATTCCTCTTGAGACAGTGTGACACTGATGGCTGCTCCCCATTTCTGAGAACTTTTAGTTAGGCATGTGACCACCTGACACTCCTCCAAGCCTTATCTGAAGATAGGTGGGAAAATAAAGATGGGTAGGGACGTGTGACGGAGAGCTGGCCCTTCCATCCTGGGCAGGAGTAATGTATTCAGCTTCTGAGTGGTGACCTTAGGTGGGGCACTGTCCCCTTCTTCCCCACCCCCACTCCCAAAGCGGAGTTGGCTGGGAGCCACCTTTGGCCATATGGTAAGGTGAGATGGCAAGACAGGCATGATGCCCGGCACCTTTTAGTACTGGACCCTTCCACCTGCAAGTCCCACACGAGATGCACTTCTGCTTGGGACTGGCTGCAGCCACGTCAGTGCTCCAGCCTAGCAGTTAGGAAGAGAACAGAAGCATCCGTGCAGCCGGGACCCCATAGCACAAAGGTGACCAGCCCACCCCACTGGACAGTAAGTGACCACACTGTTTCTCCTGCTTGGTACACTGGGAATAATTTCAGGGTTTCTCTCAGGTTTGCCTTCCTGTCAGCGCCCCAGCTCTCATTTCCTCCTGTTAGAGATAGGATTTCAGAGCTCTGGAGCTGGCCACCTGACTTTGCCATGGCCACCTTGTCATTCACTGTCTGGCTACTCTGTTTCCATACCTGTCTGGAAGCTATTGTGAGAGTATACTAGGGTGACATATGTGGAACTTAGTCACACTAGGCACTAAATTAGTGTTCTGCACTATTATACATGTCTGTGTCAGGATTTTTTTCATAATCAGCTGACAGCAACTTAAATAAAACAGGCTTATGGAAAAAGGGAATTTATTAGCCATAAGCCAAACAATCCAGGGCTATCCAGTTCCAGGCCAAGCAAACAACAGGGGAGCCAATCTGTGTCATTGACATTAGCTTCAATCTCTCCAGCTTATCTTGTGTTGAGACTATTTTCAGGCATGCGTTGTCCGGCATTCCATAGCTAATTCCAAACTCCAGGGTATTAACTTTTTAAGACTGTGAGAACGTCTCTTCAGCCAAAGTCTGGGAAATGAGGTCTCACACTGATTGAGACACCACTCTGTCTTCCATCCAGTGCTGGCCAGGGAGATGGCAGGTCTGGCTGTCCAAGCGAAAGACAATCCCTACACCCCCCAGCCTGCTTCTCTCCTAGCGCTTAGGTTGGGAATAGGAAAGAGGCAGCCTATGGAAGCGGGGGCACTCTGACTAGAGGCAGTACACGACAGGCAGGCAAGAGCAGGCTTTCACAGCATGGGAAAGACCCAGCAGCATTCCTGGCATGGTAAGCACTAAGAAATGTGAAGTGTCACATGCCTCCTCTGGGTCTTCCGGTTTCAGGTCACTCTGGGCAGTGATGCTCTATGTAGTCCTCGTGAATCTTTTCAAATTCGCTGTACACTTGGCTGCTGTGAAAAGCTGCCCCTAAAGGTTAGGCCCGACTTTCGCCAAGGCCCCCATTTGCGCTACAGCCCTCTGTGGACCCTCCCCCAAGCTTTACACCCTCCCCCTCCCTTCTTTCCTCTTGCTCTCACCCTGCTCCCTCCATCTAGGAGTAGCAGTTTACTAAGCAAGAGAGCCACTGGGTATTGACCGAAGATGAAGATGCTCTCTGCATTTTCCGTTGCTTCCACATTTGATCCCACATCCTTTTACACTAGAGACTCCTTTTAGTTTGGTCAGGTGGTTTAAAATCAATTTGTCAATTTGAAAATTACACTATTAGGTACCAACAGTTGCCCTGGAGCATCACTGCTGGTGTCCAGGGAGGAAATGATACGTCAGGCGGATATCTGGTGACGAAAGCTGCTCTTCTGACAACTGGGCTGGAAGATGGAAAACCAGAACAGAGCCAGCTGGTTCCCTGGCCAGGGGAGAGGGATGGTGTGGGTGGCAAGGATGAGCCACTCTGGAAGCCAAAGAAAAGGGTGGCAGTGCCGAATGGATCGACCATGAGAGCCTGTCAGTGGCCGGAAGGGCGGCCAAGTTCTGTGGTAAACACATTCCTTGCGTGGAGGGACCTGCTTCAGCTCCCTTATCCTGGTGGCTCTGAGCATCACACTGACTCCTTAAGTCCCGTGCTTGGACTCTGTGGCCTCTAAGCGTTCCGTGGCTTCCCAGTAAAGCATGTTTGCCTAAGGGAAGGAGAGGACTGGCCCTGAGCATCTCCTATGGCAAACAGAAACACTGAAAGGACACCCAGAATTTGGGGGCAGATTTATTTAATGTTGGATGGGTACTAACTAGAAATCAGTTGTTCCTCAAAATGTCAAGCCTTGGTCTCTGGTGGTCTAGGGCTTACAGGGGATAAGCAAGCGGAAGTACAGAGGCAGGATGGCTCATCTAGGGGATGGCTCTTACAATGTGCATCACAGTGACCAGCCGTTTCTAAGAAACAAAGGTAGCAGGAGCTGTAAGTGGAGCCATCGCCTGGGCAACTAAGAGACGCAAGTACACTGGTTGGTGGCGGAGGTGGTGGCAACAGCTTTTGTTACACACCCAGCACTTGAGCTGTGGAAAGTTCGGCTGCTGGCATGCGGTGTCATCTCAGTTCAGTGGGCCTTCTTATTAGAAAGCTGATCTTGAGAAATGGCCCCACTTCCCTCATGAGAGAAAGCAGTTCCTGGGTAAGGACAATGGGCAGGCCCTTGATAAGGGTGGGGGCTCCACGCCACAAATGCTCGCCATGAGCCTTTTGGGATAGAACCCCTACTACAGTTCTGAATAAGTACACAGAAGCAAGGATGAACAGTTTATTTTTTAAAAAGATAATACTTAAATATTAAGCTGATATGTGAAATGTATTAACTAGGCTTTTCTATACATTATATTTACATAATGACTCTTGATTTTGCCTTTCCAAGTACAGTTTCCTCAAGAGTTAGAAAAAGCTAAACACATCAGTCTCGGGCTCACACTGCCTTCTCAGGCCAGCTGTCCCCTGGCAGAGTGAACAGAAGTGAAGAAGCAACTGGCCCCTCCCCACAGTGCTCATTTGCCCCCTTTTGTTTTAACTTGAGAGTTTCTAAATAATAATACCAAATAAGGTTTGGGCATAAAAAGCTAGATAATTGCCCGATCTAGGGCTGTGTTTTGTTCCAGGAGACCTGGGCCAGAAAGGACAAGAATTCCCCTTGTCAGCAGGCCTGCAGTGATGGAAGCCAGGGTCACTCATGCACTTCTATGTGGTCGCTGAGTGAAGGGAGATGGAGCCAGACCAAGCTCATCTGTAACATGAGGGGTTTGACCTTCCAGCCTGGCCTGCTAGTTGCAAACCTCCACTCTTCCACCTGCAAGAAACGGCCCCCTGCTGAAGTGGATGCCGGAAAAAGTCCATCCTGCTGCGGCATCAAGCTTCAGACATGGAAAATAACTACAATGAAATTAAAGTATTTCAGTAAAGTGCAAATTGTTCCCACAGTGGTGGGGGACATTCTGTTCAATGCTTTGAAATTTATGTATGCTGTAAAACTGTAGCAAACTATTATCTTACACACATAAACTAAAGACTTTCCCACAGGGATATAAAATTTAAGAGTAAACCCACTGAATGACTTCCTAAATTCCAAGAATCCATAATCTGCATCCATGATGTCTTGCTGTTACATGAGCTTTTTTAGGTCATCAGGATAAGGAGTCTTTTGGAGACTCTGAAAGAATTTTGTTTTGTTTTTTGTTTAAAAAGCATCAAGAAATTTTATGATTCTGGGGGTTGAAACCCCAGTGTCACAGGCAAGGCTTCATTTTTACGGAATACAAAGCACTCTGTTTCTTCCACTTCTAATAGCTCGGCAAGAGAAGCCACCACCAAGTCGTGCTCCTGCAGCATTTCCGGGTAGCGGGACACGGCTCGCTCAATCCTTGCTGAA